ATACATTTTATATATTATGCCTCCTTTTTCATCATTTGTATAATTATAATTTTATATAACGTGCCCTGTAAACATATACAATAATAAATTTCGCGACATAACTGGAAAGTTACGTAAAATTAAATCGGCGTAGAACGCTTTAAAACAAACGGTATCCCAAATGTTACAATATAATTTTAACAATTTAAATTAACTAAATTTCATAAATCTCGGATATTTGAAAAAAGCCCATGAAAAGCATTTTCAAATAGAAAAAATAATTCTCTTAAAATAATCGATTTCTGTTTGATTTTCTACCGTATCTGTATCTCGTATATAATATATCATTACATTGTACTGTTCGATAAAAACACATATCAAAATTGCTGCTAGATCCAACGATAATGGTAACGCAAGGATAATCGTAGTATAATGCTTATGTATGTGTTAGTATCACAGAACAGAACAAGCAAACGAGGTCAGGCCATAATTTGGAAGCAGCAAAAAGAATATCTACAAATATCTACAAATATAGGACAGGCATTCCTCTTTCTCTAATCTAGCTCATCTCTAAATGGCAAAATAACATTAGTTGTTCTCATTCAAAGGAATGAATGTAAGCGGGAAATATGCATGCATACATAGCGAGACAAGTAGTTACAACGACAGTCTATACAATCTGCGTGTACGTTAAGTCTAAGGGAGGCAAAAACAACGCACACCGGACTATAATATAAACATATGTGTCTTATGGCGCTGTAGTTTACCGTCCGAGCACATAATGTAAACGTGTGTATGAATGTTTATACATAAAAGATGTACGTATGTATATACATTATACACACACGATCACAGATCCCCCCCCCCGCGCGCGCGCGCAACTCTTGGCTATTGCTGATTGCTAGTCACGTTGCTCCGGGCTAACCGTGGGCAACTCTACGTGGGCTCGTTATGGTTTCTCCGGCTCGATAATGTTCGATTGAAATGATCCCGCCGTAAACCGTGAAATACGTACCAATCGTACTCGTCGAGCACATACGGCGGTATATACATCGCGAGGGGGCCTCGGGAACGCGTGTACGGCCACGTCGACGGGGCCTTACGACGAGGAATTGAGACTTCAGGCGGTCTACGACGAGGTGGAGATATCTCCACCGTGATCGCTCCACCGGGCGTACAATTTGACGTTTAAGCCTCGCTTACTGGATATAACACAGCCCTTCCGATCGAGCCTCGCGGAAAGATAAGCCCTTCGTACAGCTGCTACGGGGGAGTAGACTCTCTTTCTCTCGGCGGAACGTCTTCGTGACTCGAGTGTACGATGCTTATCTTGCCCTTACGCGATATGCGCTAGGGTAATGTTTAATAACGTACGTTTGTATTTGTGAAAACTTGCTTCTTTTACAATGCGCAAAGAGAACGCTATTTCGATTCATCAATCAACGACAGATAACGATAGTTAATTGCAATAGCTATTTATCGTAAAATAATAAATATCATAAAATCAATGGCAAAGATTTTATCGCGAAATTTCTTGCATACGATTCTTTATTTTGCCATTTTGGCTGTATCTTTCTCTCAGATAATTTTAATATAAATCGTTAAACCTTTTTTTCAAAGAAATATCATAAAGTTTTCATTTCCTAATGTATATTTAGAAAATCCGAGGATAGCGACTTAGGTTTAGATGTAAATTATACAAGTAACACAAGAGAGAAACAACTACGACTCCATTCTAGCAGAGCGAGCAAATTGAAATCGCAAATAAAGGGACTTCGTGCTAAGCTACTCCCGTGCGAGAGAGGGGGACTAGTTCTTGTTCCTTATAAAATATTCATTACAAAGCCTCTCGCATCCAGGTCACTAGCGCTTAGAGTCTAAGATGTGAGTGTGTTACTTCGCGGTTCTCTCGCGGATTTCGACCTGGCAGTGGCAGGTTGATTAAGTGTATGACAAGCGAGACGTAAAGGAACACGGGGACTCACGCCCGGCGCTATCTTGCCGCAATAACTCGAACTCGGTCGTGATTTCGCATAGATGCGGCAAACACGATTCAGGAAGCGCCAGATTCGGTGTCGGCTAAAACGTCGGGTGGCGCGACACGACCGTAGCGGTGAAATTACGGTGTAGAAGCGCTGCGCAAAACTTCGCGCCTGAAAAGTCAATCCGTCGTGCGATTCTTCTCTGACTCTCTACGGCGCGAAACTGTCTCATAACATGCATCTCGCGCGCGGTGCTGAGAAATACGTGTGAAAGTAAAACGATGGAATGCGATCGCGAGCTCATCGCCGGAGATTTCAACGATTCGGGATACATCGTGAACGCGCATCTACTTAAAAATGACAGGAAGCGGCCGATTTTAGCGGGAGAGATATTAAAGAAGACGAGACCGTGACCAGGAAGTGAAACTCCGTGATCAAATAAACATACTGCATGGAATAATGATACACATACTCGTACTTCGCTATTGCACTAAACTGACGTTTGCATGCGATATCGGGCAACGCACGAATGTACGTTGAAAATATATATTGAAAGGCAAATAAACGAGAAATGCGCGTTAAAAAGAAAAGCATGAAACGATAAGGTCCGATAAGGGCGATTTTAGATTGTGAGAGAGGCGGTCATTTGTTTAAGTGGAAATCCTATAATTGTTCAGTCGAAGATCAAGCCGGAAATGTAATAGCGTGCGCTATCCTTCGTCGAAGTGGCAAATCGCCGTAACAGAGCGTACACGAGAGGATACAGTTTCTTTTTTGCCTCCTGATATTTGTTGCCTCTCATAACGCGCCATTATCTCATTTATTTGCAATGGCAAGACCGCAATAACAGGATAATAGCTTAATTAAGCCGCCGTAATCCGCTCCAGCACAATGTGCTGCATGGATTGAACATTTTAAGGATTATCGCCGCGAGGCGCACACGTCTCGAAAGTTCGTTCGATCCCATGATTCACTTCGTAATTGGCTATGATATAACATGATTTAAGGCGCCACTGCCTTTTCTCGAATGTAACTCGTTACGATACATTTATATCAGATGCACAATGCTCATTGGGGGGTTTGATTAGCTTTGCCGGCCTGCGTATTTTTAGTATTGAACGAAATATTTCATGATACGAGTACTATCAGTCGAGACGAACTTAAGTTCAGTCCCAGCGGAATATAATCGAGCGCTGTTCTCTTTCTTTCTCCCTCCCTCCCCCCCCTCCTCTATTTCCCGTGAGATCGCGCCGATAGAAGCCGATGGAGATGAAGGAGAACGAGGTGGAGGCGACGGTGCAGGAAGAGAAGGGGAAAAAGGAGATACAAAGGTAAGATCCTTTTACACGAGTTGGTTTGCACGAGTTGTACCGAGTGGTATGGGTGGAGCAAAGTTCACGAGGTCGGGTCGAACCGGGCAAGTCTAATGCAACGATTATCGGCGCTGAGTTATTAGCTCCAGCTGAAAAGGGAGTCGGAGAATGGAGTAGTAGCGATTCGTCAAGACCTGTCGCGCTGTAAAACTGCGTAGGCGATTGCGGTGACTCCGCGACAAGCCGCTCCCTCCCCCGATTAGAGGTGGAATCGCGCGTACCTCTCGAAGCAACGTGTCTCGGATCGCAAGTCTCTAAAGCGGCTGCAGCTCTTTGTTAGCTAATCCCATATACAATTTCACTTTCGCATTCTGTGCATTGCTACACACGAAGCTGGCACACGGTAGCGTCGTGCTACGGTTGGTTCTTGCAACGTCCGGTACCCGCTGGGGAAGAAGAAAGGACGAGGAGAAATGTACGCGACTTTACGGGCCACGACGTTGAACTCATGCCACGGTCCATGTGAATTGGACACGCGGCGCAGATGCGGATGAGACCGCGAAGACGATGTTTAGGTAGGCGGGCGTTAGAAAGTTTCTGAATGCGTCTGCAATTTGTTCTACGGCATAATACTCGAGTTCGAGCGCGTCCTGCCTTATTTCTGTTAGACAATTTGCCGACGGCCCTTACGTAAGTGCAGCCAATAACACCTGCGGGTTTGGTTGAAAAAAATACACCCACACCTGCGATCAATTATATTATGCGCTTTGTAATGATCGATACCTCCTTCTGATTTCACTGTTGAAGATATCCCGGAGCAGACACTTAGCCGAACATCGAAAGTTGCATTTCTCTCAAGATCATTAGGAATATTAACATAATGTAAAAATAATATATGTACAATATTTATGAATAGTTATAATGAGAAAAAGAATTAGATTACTTTTGAATTTTTAATTTCTGTTTTTCGATTCTTGCAGAAAATTAAAAAGTGTTTAAGATGATAAAAAGATTGAGCGGATGCCCACAATAAATTAAGAAGATGTACACGGGTGAATTGAAAAAGCCATGCGAGAAGATTATTCAGACAAGGGAATATATAAAGTGTACTTAAGATTGGCTCATTTGCCTCCCACACGCGGATAGACGAGGATTAAATCTGACTTATTTCATCTCCGACTAATTTAAACGTTTCAAGCGGCAAAGAAAGTAAAAATCTCTGTATACCTCTCCACGCCGGGCTGCCCAATCAATCCCACGCAATAAAATCGAGGACGTTGGGAACTGTCCTGTCGAGGGGCCCGAGACTATAGCCGCGCGATATACCGCAGGATTCGCCACATCAGTCCAGGGATTGGTGTTACGTCAGCGACTTGCACGCTCGTTCGTGCAATTTATAACTCCCACTTGTGCTTTCCGAGAGTACGAGATCAAGACGAATCGCGCCTCATCCTCTCCACCGCTTAACTTCCAACCGTGGCGCCGCGGTTGACCGTGCTTAATAGTTTCCACTTCGAAGGAGAGAGAAAGAGATGAGGAATAGAAAGGGGGAGGGGAGAGAGAGAGAGAGAGAGAGAGAAGAGAGAGA